ACAGCTGGACAGTGGTGTGGAGATTCTGGATGAAGAGCCACCCAGGAGCATGGACCCAACCCACAAGGACAGATGTGCGCAGACTGTGGATGAAGAGCCACAAAGCCTGCCCATTGCTGAAGCAAATCCCAGCCAGAAAAGGATGAAGCTAGAGATTGGGCACAGAGATTGCACAAAGGATGCCATCAGGTGGATCCCATGTGAAGAAGGTCTGGTACCCTTTGTGAAGAATGGTGGTACAGAGATTGTGCATAGTGAGAGGTGTCAAATGAGAGTGCTTCAAAATGAAGCCTGCCAGGCTGTGAAGCATGTGCAATGTTTGTCTGGCTGCCCTCCTGAATGCAGTGGCCACCTGTCAGGATGTCAGTGCCTTTGCCACTTGCTCAGGGCATACTACAATGAAAGGCTAAAGAGTCTGTGACATGTGGCACAAAGACACCAGGAAGTGTGGGTGGAAAAGGGGTGAACACTGCAGCCATGACATGGGGAGAAGGGGTGTGCTGGAGTGGAACTCAAAGAGTAGGTGGATTCCCAAAGAATAGGTGGAATATGCATCCAAACCCAGGGGGTACACAAACAAAGAATAAGTTGGTACTACTGTATCATGTATGCAAAGACTAGCCTGTATAGGGAGGGTAGAGTAGCAATGCAATACAAGCCATAAGAAGTAAGTCTGGTAGACCAATGATAGCAAAAAAAGGTGCTGGAAAAAAAGGGCAGCATTTCCACCCTTTTACAGTAAAGGGCAAGTTAATAGGAATTAATTTTTTGGCTTTCCCCAAAAGAATATTTTCTGATATTTTCTAATATTTACTAATAAAAGCTAATAGTTTCTAATATTTGCTAATATTGGCGCATATTTGTGGAGATTTGCTAATATTCCCTAATATTGGACCAATGGTGGGTAGCAACAATGTGCCAAAACCTAGTGAACAAGCCCAGGTACAGAGCACATTTCCCATCTTGTGGCGCTGCTCTGATTTATGCACGCTGGCCAGAAGAAGCAACTGCAGTCAGAGATGGGTGTGTGGGGGGAGGGGCAGGGTTGTGGGGCAGCTAAGGCATGGTGACAATAGATCACCACATTGGGAGCCCACTTTGGCAAGATAGTCAGGGGTTGAAAATAGGGTTATGTCAATGCGCAGCTGTTGTTTTGGTTGGTGGATGCAATGTTTTGTGCATACTGCATACTGTGTTGTGTTGCATGTTGTTGGTGCCTGCAGTGGAAGGGTCAAGGACAGCAGGCAGATCTAGGTGGAAAGGCCTTGGAGCAGTGACACTCACATGTTACTCAGCTTAGCCATGTTTTGTGTGGTATGGTCAAGGCTGTGAAATGATATGGGTGAACCTGGTAACCTGGCACTGAGGTTATCCAACATGATTCCTCGGTGTGGCCCAGAGAATCCAGTCCACAGTGGAGAGTGGAGAGCATGGGGAGCATGGGCCTGGTGGGTGTGGACATTTGCAGATGGATGGTGTGAGTGGATTCCAGCAGGACAAATGACTGTTTTCCTAGCTACCCAAGAGCTTGTAGCCAGGGGTGAGCTACCTGACCACAGTCAAATCCTCATCCTCCAGCTTGCCTCCCAGATGCTCGACCATGTGCACCACACATATGTGGGCTCTGAGACTAACAGCATGGCCGCAATGCTCTCTGAACACATGAGCTACAACAAGATGTCCAAGTCAAACTGGTACTATAACTCTCTGCCTGGATACAGCCCCTTTGCCAACAGAAACAGCAAAGCATAGTTAGTGACAACATAACTACACCTCCCCAACCAGAACTGCATGTGCCATTGAGGTTTGGAAATTGCTGGCTAAGCCTCTCAACTCTTTTAATGCCTGTGCAGATTGTGCTTCAATGTGAACTGGGCCACCAAGCAGTGCCCAGCTTGATGCCATCTCAGGACATGAATGGATTTGTGGGCATCACTTGTGGCATATACCAGCCCTAGCTGTGGATGTGGCGCTCTTTGGTTGCACATATGGCATTGGGTGACAGCTATGTGTGCTGCTTTACTTTGGTATGGCCTGAAACTAAGCCTAGGGACTCCAGAGATTCCACAGTAACAGAGCTGATGCTAGGTGGCTTGGCCTGGCTGTTTGCATGAACTGTTTGCACAACCAAAGCAGTCAATGCATGCTGTGTGGTGCATGTGTTCCAATATGGCTTTGAACATTGTGCGCATTGAATGACAAACAATGGCTCAGTTGGCAACCCAAGGACTGGTAATGAATGCTGCTGGTGGCTATAGCAGTAGCATGTGTGACAAACACATTGGCACAAGGCTTTGAAAAGGTGCTGGCAGTTCTTGTGACAGACTGATTGCAGTGTCAGCAGAAGCTTTTCAATGGCAGCAGAAGTATAGATAGATGTATAGATAGATGTCAGTTTGTGTTGTGTCACTTTGTGCAAGCTCCAGTGAGGGGGCTGGGGCAAAGAAAAGACACCAAGACAGACAAAGGCAAACAGGAAGAGAGCAACCAAACACACACACACACAGAGAACCAGCAGAGGCCAAGAGGTAGAAACTCACAGCAACATGACATGTGCAACACCACAGACCCAAAATAAGAAAGACCTAGACAAAGAGTAGTAAACATAACTTATTTGGTTTGGAGTTGCCCTTCATGGGTCCAATTGCTAAGCAATGGACAGTGCAGATGAAGAGCCCACAGAACCAGAAAGACCTTTTTCCCTTGCAGTCTTTGATGACAATGTCCTGACTGGCAAAATCAATAGTCAGGGCTATGCAGAGTGGGATTGGGCAAGGGTGCCAGTGGCTTTGCAGCTGAGATCAGACAAGGATCACAGGTTTTTGAAAAGAAACCACAAAGAGTTTGAATCTGAATTCCAAGGGGCTCAGTTGAGCTTGAATGAATTTCACTACAGAGGAAAAGGGTCTGATAGTGAGAAAGGATTGCACAGCATAGAGTCCAGAGGCCTTTGTTTGATGTTGTGCCTGCTTCCTCAAAGGAAGCAAACTCCATCACAAGCCAAGGGGCTGGCCTTCAAACTACTGAAGGCACTTGCAGACACATGTATGGACCAAGCACCTGACTGTTTGAATGGTTACTGCGCTATAGTTGGAACAGACTTGCAGTACCACACCAAGCAGCTGACCTTCTCCCATGGGTCCTGTGACCAGTTTGGGGCTTTGCAGAACTGCCACAGCCAGGCAGAACAGTTGTGGTCCATGCTCCAAGAAAAGACTTGGTGCAACCACAAAATCACCTCCAATTTCCACCATGCAAGCCTGATTGACATCCTGTTTTACATCCTCTACTCCAAAAGCCATATCAGAGCAAAGGATATTTGGAGAGATGTTGGATGTTTTTTGTGGCCAGATGTTTTGTTTATGATGGGCACTGCGCTTGAGAAGTGTGCAACCCTGCTCTCACAGAAAGAGATGCAGTCAGTGCCTTTGTTGAAGAGTAAGGCTGGCAATGCTAGGAGGGTGCCATTCATTAACAAGATGGTGCTTTTGAAAAAGATGAAGTTCAACAAGGCGCACAGGAAGCTTGTGATGTCATCGCATTCTGATTTGGTTCCATCTTCTGCAGGCATTGTTGCCAATGAACCTTTGCTGGAGTGCCAAGAGTACCTCAAAATATTGAAGACCACTTTCCAGAACTGCAACCACATCCAAGTGTCCTGGGACCCTTCAAACTACTCTGGTGATGAAGTGCTAGTTGCAACCATCTGGAGCAATGAGTGCCAAACAGCAGGGTATCTCCCAATTCAATGTTTGCTGCCAGTGGCCACATGTGAGGTGGATAAAGAGTTGCAGGAGCTCTCTGTGCAGAAGAGGGTTGTCAGGGTTGATGGATATGGAGAGCTGAGGGCATTAGCCCATGCATTGCTGGTGGGAGTAGGCAAGGACTTTGAAGACTTTTTTTTGCCCAAAGATGTGCTTTGGCAACCTTTGACTGCTTCCCAAAGCAGGGTCCTTATCAGAGGAAAGTTCATGGTGCTGAATCAAGACACAGGGGAGCTGAGAGAGCAGGTCCCAGATTCCTTCAGGTTTGACAAGCAACCAGTCCTAGTCAGCATCTCTGACCAGGGAGGGGTGAATAGAGGGGTGCTGGACTATGCTTGCAATTATTTGAAGATGGTTTTGGTGGTGGCATTCGACCACCACCATCGAACATGGAATGATGTGAAGGCAAGCTTGAGGAAGTCTGGTGTTTACAGGTCCTTTCTAATTTTTACCATGCTGTACAATGTCAATTACGGCCCACAGGGGTCAAAGAATTGGTTCAACAAGAAAAGAGCAGCTCTCAAGGAAATGGAAAGGTTTTGGGGACCAAATGATGCAACCTTTCTTGCTATGTTGCCACACATCTGCAGTGAGAGGGATGAGCTTGAGGATGGTAGTAGTGAGCAAAGAGAAAGGCTGTTCAGTGCAATGCTTGACATGAAGACTGCTCAAAGATGTGGTCCTTTGACCAAATTGATGAGATGGTGGAGCTGGATGGAATGCCACCAGTTCTATGATGGTGAAGTATGGTTTACAAAACTTCTCATGGAATGAGAAGAAGGAGGAAGACACAGGCCCAGTGCCTCTCATCGATCCATCTTCAGCTGCTGAAGCTGCTAACTTGACTCCGCAACAAGAACTAAGGGCACTTAAGCTGAAGCATGGCACATGGTCTCTTGCACCTGCTTTGGTGACAGAGGAAAGTTTCTGGGACAAGACCCTTGCGTTTCAAATGTCAGTGCCAATGTGGGATATGTATTCAGCAATGTCCAAAAGTGTCCAACAGCCAGCTGATGTACTCAATTTTACCATCAGAATGGCCACTGGAGGTTGGAAGCAGGAGCTAGCAGCCATCACTTGCCATGGTTGTTTTGACATTGGTGTGATGAGGAAGCTGTATTTTACAGATGGTTCAGACAATGAAGAGCACCTGAAGAAGCATCACACATTTCTTGTGACTCTTCTGAACAAGAGAGCCATGAGCCTAGTGGGTACATTCTGCAAACCTCCCTTTAGGTATGCTGGCTTGGCAAGACCTGACACTGAAGTGGAGATGAGAAAGGTGATGAATGCTGAATGGAAAGCCATTCAAGAAGTAGAGGGTTTGGCTGCACAAGGCAAGCAAGCTTTGCCACTGAACTACATGCACTTCTTGCAGACTTCCTTCTCCAGACTCCATTACCTGGCAAATGAGATTGATATTGTGAACAACTTGGCTGGTGATGCTTCTCATGGAGTCCTTCTTTCCAGAACAGCCTGCAAGCACTTGGGGGACACAGTTGTGGTGGAGAACACCCATCAGAAGTGCAAAGACCTATTGAGGAATGCTCGACACCAAATGGCAGGAAGATTGTCAAAGTTCCACACAATCATAGGCTGCAATGTCTTGCAAGGCAAAAAGGTGAACTTTGTGAAAGTCACTGATGCTCAAAAATCTATGTGGAGCTTTGGAAAGGGAGACAGGCTTTCTGTGGTGAAACAAACACATCCCAGCGCCCACAAGATGAGCAAGAGATTTCAAGATGTGATGAGGTGGAAGAGTTCCAGGCCAAACTTCAATTGGCCATCCACATCACAGGAAACAATGTTCTATGAGTCTGCTTGTTTGGAGCTGCTTCTCCAAGAAGGATGCTCAGATTTGGTGCGCGCTGGAGAGCTGAAGACAGCAACCATCACTTGCATGGTGGGACAGCCAGGTAAGTTTGTTGCAAGCCAACTGGGAGGGAATGCTTTGATGGTCATTGCAAAGGCGCCTCTCAGTTTCCTTGGTTGGGAGATGGAAGTGCTGGGGAGGAATGATGAGTCTGGCTTTGTTTCCATGCAGCTTTGCAGGGGAGCCACTGCTTGCTCTTGGCACACTGTCAGTGACCTTGATGACTGGCTCTCCATTCCATGCAACCCAAAGCTGCAGAACAGATATGGCCCCTTCATCTATGAACAGTGCAGTGCTGCCATGCCATTGCCAGAGGCAATGGTTGCAGAGGGGCTGAGCTTGTCAGTGGCACAGTGCCTGATTATTTTGAAGCACTATGATGTGAAGCCTGCATCAAAAAAGGTCAAGGCAAACTTGTACCACCAAATCATTGAACTTTTTGTGGACAACCCAGAGGAGCAAAAACTTGCTTTTGCAAGGTGATTTGGGTAAGAAAAAGAAAACAGATGATGATTTAGAGGGAGAAGATTTGTCTGAGTTGGAGGATTTGCTGGACAATTTGGATGAGGGTGGAAATTGTGCTGATCCAGATGTGCAAAAAGAAAAAGAGAAAGTGAAAAGGGCTAGAAGGAAAGCCTTTGCCCAAGAATTGCAACAGAAAGCACTTTTGAAGCCAAAGAAAGGCAAAGGCAAAGGAAGAGGCAAAGGCAAGTTTGCAAAGAAGGCCTTTGGGAGAGGAAAGGGCAAGAGCAAAGCAAAGCCAAAAGCAAACCCTATGCCACCAAAGGAACCTGCTGTGCAGCCACAGGTACCTGAGGAGGAGCCAGAGATACCTCCAAATCCTTCAGCCTCAGCTTCAACCCAGGCTGTTGTGCCTGCCAAAGCTGAGGATGAGCCAGATGAGAAAAAAACAAAGAGGGGGACACCAGCTCCAAAGGTGCATGAGTCCCCTCACCATATCCTGGACGCTTTGGCACCCCCCTGGTGCCAAAATGACATTGTCCACCATGGACCACAGATTTGT